CCATAATGATCTCCTTTTTATGACTGTTCCTGCCGACCTTTGCTATTATTGATGCATGCTTGTTTAACTTGATTCTGAATCTATTGCATAGTTTTCTTTTTTATGATACAGCACAATTTCTATCATTTGACAGAATTGCAATAATATAAAGGTGCATTATCTAAGAGCTAAATCTGTCTATTGCAGGTCTTTCTCTGCCTTCAAATCTTATATAAATTACCATTTAGACATTTATTCACATGACAAGCTTATAATCAACTATCTACACAATCGGATGGCTAAGATTTAAATGGATTGGAATACCAGTGACATTTACAAATTTAACGATAAAATGGTTAATCAAGACTTAATCTCAGTTGTCAAGCACTGTTACTACGATAATAAACGATCTACATTTCATCTTCAGATAGTCATAACTTTGCCCAGAATAAAATAATTGTTCATTATCTTTTTATGTATCTTTAAAGATGGGTTCTCAGAAAAGTATTTATCAGGTGGTTATTTCCAATAAAAGTATGGTAATTTTGGTATATATGGAAAGTAGAGATATCTAATCTTACTAGAAAAATACTGGATTCCCCTAAAAACACTAATGGAGTGTATACAGGACAAAAACGTAAGGGTTCACCTTATCAACAGTCCGACGATTAGGAATTTCAGCACGCATGATGTCAAAGGTCACACGCGAACATTGAGCGCTTGATGTACAAGTTGATAAACTTTATGAAGAGTTAGACGTACAACACTTTCTGAGATAAAAATGATGGAAAAAGACGCGGGTAGTGGATAATCCGAGAATTTAATTAGGATTCGATATTTGAAATAAATAGTAAGCGATTAAAGACAACATCGTCTTATGTATGCAATGAATTCTCCTCTGACTTCCAAGAGAGGTAAGTCACGTGAAGTAAACATGACCTAGTTTGATTGAATTTTTATAGCAGGACATTCCTTTGGAATTACAATGTTTGAGAAGGATTTGAAGCAAAATTATGACAAATTAATTAGTTTAAATATCTTTTTAGTCCATATATACCATTAAATCACCTAGTTTGTACGCGGGAACCCATCTTTAATGTGATAAAACGAAGTATAGTCTAATTAATTTGTTATGGTTGTTAAGGGGTCTATCAATATTAAAAACAACCTACATGTACCCAAAAAACCTAAGAGAATATATCTATACCATCTGCTCAAGCTGGTATTGTATTTAGTAATCTGAAGGGGCAGATCTAGATAGTTGCTATTTCCCATGGACAACTATATGTACAATAGACTGAAAGCAAGCAGTCATCCTGAAATTGATGTGAATGTGTTTATGTAATTTCTTTCAGAGCTGAATGATTTTTGTGAACTGACCTAGATGTAAATATATGACGGGAATAGCATAATGTTTGATGGCTTGGAGCCATGTCAATATCCTGTAACAAATACAGATACCATAGTACACAACATTTAATCCTAGAGCAAAAAGTGCAATTTGCAGAAATCCAAAGATAACTTACTAAAACAACCAAGAGAAGAGAAGATAAAAAATTAAGAAAAAAAAAAAAAAAAAAAAATTGGTGTCCTGAATCCCTTCCAAAGTTTGTGGGTTTGTTTAAATCTTGTGGTTGTTTTGGTAAAGATTAAAAAAGCTTTGTTGGAGTATATATTCTCTCTGCTAAAATAAAATGTCATTGCAAAGTTTCTCAGAAGAGGGCAGTAAGCAGTCTCATCAATGGGATGTTTTAGTTGTTTTTCTTATGTCGGTGTAGATCTAATAGATGTTAAAAAAAAACCCTGAAATTTTTTAATTTTAGGCAGCTCTTTATCTAAATCTTATATAATGTATCTTTAATAACAAAAAGGTACATCTATTTTCAATAATTGGCACATTTGAGATTAGCTCATATGACTGATAATAGCATTCTAATATCATTACAATGTAATCATGTTTTAACCATTATCATATCATTTTTTGCTATACTGTAGCAAGTATGAAGAAATACGCCAAGCCCATTTATACCCAGCCTTCTCGGCAAATCCTAAGATTTCCTACAATTTTATTAATCTCTTTACACCACCAAAATTGATTGCCAAGGCAGTGGCTTTATATGTGTTTTTGGCTTTTGATAAGAGAGCTAAATCAAATATGGTGGCAACTACATGTAACTGAAACCCCTTCCATTCACTTGATTTGTGATATTTGTTTATTTGGTGCAATGTCTATTTTCTGTCTTGTCCGCAGGTTTATCTTGCAGATTTTTGTTTTGCATGTAGTGCGGTCCTCCTGCACTTACTATTTGATATACATGTACAGTTGTACATGTAGTATACTGTTTGTATGAATGTATTGAGTTGTCTATGTAATATGTATTATTGAATGTATATGACTATGTCTAAGTGTATATGTATGCATGCTGTCCTTCATGGACGTTTTGATGCAATAAACATCTATCTATCTATCATCTTTGGACAACCTTGTAAAGTGTGTGTGCTTAAATCAGCCAAATCATTAATACAAAAATTTCTCACATGCAAACAGAAATGTTTTGTTTTATTAGGTGTTAGGAGGACCTTTTCAAAAATAAACAAAACTCTTACCAGATCTGTAAAATCAGAGAATAGTGAAGGGTTATTTTCTAAATTATGAAGGATTGAATGAATGTGAAATATAGAAATGGGAAATGCACCAAATGGGAAAATGAAGACAGGCATACACCATTTCTATGTGCTATGAGACACATTTTGCACAGATGGCAGCGCTACGGTCTACTCTTATTTTTAATTCCATCTGTCAAGGGTTCTTATACGGGCATGTCAATGTGTACCCCCAGATCTCAATTTTTTGTCTCATCCAACCGACTATGCGTGCCCAGGCCTTTGGTTCTACAACACTGACAAATGGGGAGACACACTGGAAAATCCTGATGAACTGTCATGGCCCAGGCAGGGACCGAACATGGGACCAGCAGGTTAGCGCGAGCGACCCAAAATTTCTACCTACTGAGACGCTACATCTTCCTGTAAAACTTGGTGACTAACTGAGATGAATAAGAGTGAATACTGTGAACTACGGGTCCCAGCGCATGCCTTGTTACAAAAATGTATGCCAAAGTGATGTAAATTCATCATGCAGTAAATCAAAATGTCTTTATATATTCAGTATATCCTGAAATAAATCTTTTTGTAGGCTGTCATACAAGACAATAAACCATGGTAAACTTAGTCTATAATTACATAATAATCTTCTAATTGATAAATACATTTCTCTAAACTATTCTTGTAAAGGTTTTAAATTTCTATTTTCAACTGTAACCATTATGTATTACAGATTTAGTCAGAGATATCCATGCATATAGGGACCCTTGAGTAAGGTTAAAGATTATTCACAGCAGAATTTTAAACAGTCACATTTGTTTTTATCAAAAGATCTGAGACTAAGGATAAATCTGTAATTATAATTCCAAAATTGTCATTTACATCTTGTCAGCAGTGTTCTAAAAGTTATTAAAATATATGCTGGTAAAACTTACATTTTAGTCCTTAACAGTAGCAATCATACCCACCCACAAGCCAGACTTGTTAAATAACCTCACCAGAGAGAGAGAAATAGGGTTTAACGTTCACTCGACATAAACTAGGTGATTTCGGAACTAACATATTGTTAAATTTTAATTCAATAAGTCGCTTATGCGTAGGGGTCTTTAGCAGTGGGGGAAACCAGAGGACCTGGATAAAACCCACGAGGTTGGGTGGGCGACTGACCAGATACAGATATCGGTTGGTCAAAATCTACTTTGTCAATTCCTATATAGTTACATACACATAATGTTTTACAAATAATTACTTTACTTCATTCCAATATTTCAACAAAATCATAGCAGACTCAGTATATTAAAAACACAGAAATTATTAATAAGCTAAAGGCACAACTACTATAATGGGCTGAGGTCTGTAGAAAGTTTCATAATATATTTTGTAAACAAAATTGCATGGGATTGAAGGACAGGCAGGCAGAGCACATTTCCAAAACACTTCCTTGTTTGGGAATAATAATTAAACGGGTATGAGGTGGGTGGATAATTTTATAAAAATGATATAATTTTCCTACTCTTATATTAAGATACTTAAAAACTGCATAAGTTCTTCGTTTTAATTTCCACCAATACCATTCTTGAATTGCATTGTGTTAGGGTTGTTATTACAGCTTAAATTATATTAGTTTTTTTACAAGAAAGGAATATTTATGAATAGAAAATAATACAAAGAATATAATAAGGAATCATCTTAGACCATTCACAATCCACTCCCTTTGAAAAGCAAACAAGAGTTAAGCATACCGATTTCGTGTTATTTTCAGATAGCAATATCTCAACAACTAATACTTTTAAAAGTTCATATTTTCAAAAATTGTCTTTTGAAAGGTGAGAATGGGACCAGATACAACAGATTGTGACAGATTAAGATTTTACAATTTATGTCCATTAATACTAAATAAGAATCAAAAGCTGTTGGATGTATGCTATCAATCGTCAATATATCAGGGATCACAAATGACACATTGGATCATTATATTTCAAGTGGCACAATGTACCTAATGATAATAATGATCTACAATAAAAAATAACTAATTATAACTAATCTGACTTGGCGATGCCAAAACAGAATCAAAAGTCTCACTAAGATAAATCATCTTGACATTACTAGCTTTAAAATTTAATCATTTGTACAGACAGTACATGTATATTGTACCCGGAGGTTACAAGGCTGACCACTCCTGGTCTACATGCTCATGGCCCTTTAAACAGAAGTACCTGTATAGATAGACCTAAACATCAAGGTTAATATTACTATTTTTATACACACCGTACTTTAGCTTAGAGTACTTGCATATGTAGTATTCTCAGTGCTATTTAGGTTAGACACATACTATGTGATTTATTTTAGTTATAACTGGCAATAAAATATTGAAACATGTCTTATCTATAAAATATGGTAAAGACTGAAGAACTTACATGATACATTTGAACGGTAATCCTCTAACACACGGTCACACTTCTACCTGTGGTAAAGTCCAAACTTGCAATAATCAAAAACTTGTATCATAATCTGGTTGAATAGATCACATACGACACAGATAGCTATATATGTTGTGAATAGATTTTTATTAAACCACTGACTGACTGACTGATCGACGGAGTGAATGACGTATATTGTATAGATGAGAGTAGAAGAGAGGAGAAAGTAAAGCGTTATAACTCAATGAATCAATAAGTTCACAGATCTAAAAAGGTTTTTCTTCGACACACTGATTCGTGGTTACACATCTCTGTAATAAAGTGGGCGTATTATTCAATGCAGTGTCAAGGTCTTTTGCTTAAATTGATCAAGTTTTTTTAACGAGACATTACTACTGGCTTCTTAGTTTGATAGTCTGTTTTTTTCTCACATGGCAGATAACAAACAAAACAACTATTTTATCTAGAACGGAGCCCTGTTTCACATCTTAAATCTCCTTAAAATTGTCCTAAACTAAAATTTCATTCTAACTTGAGATAGATGTATTTCACAAAACGATTTAGAACATTTCAGATAAAATCCACTAAACTAATATTCAAAGTTAAAATTTTATCTTAACATAAAAAGTGACGTTTCACAAAACTATTTTAGGGACAACTTTAACTTAGGATAGTCGTCACCATCTCCTAACTTAAAATCATGATATTAACAAACATAGATTAGGGCTACATTGTTCGATCTATCGCAACATATACATGTAGATAGATTTGGAATAATGATAATATTGCTAATGGCTTGGGTCCCATAATTTTAAAATACCATCATTTTCAAAAACAATTCTCACTGAATTTCTTTTCATAGCATGGGAAATACAGCTACAGTCCACCCGTTTATCTTTATTGTAAGGTAATTTAAGCAATTAGATGATGCTCCAAATTAGGACCCCAAAAACAAAAAAAAACCACTCAAAACCCAAGTAAACAAGACTCTTTGTAACTGTTTTATATATTATCATATGATTCAAGTATAAATGATACTATTTTCAAATAATTAATAGACAAAAAAAAAAACCAACAAAAAAACCCCCCCAAAAAACCAACAAAAACAAACCTACATGTACAAGTTAAAATCAATTTTAGCGATCTTAGCTTAGGTTTTTGTGAAAAGGGACCCTGTTTCACAATTATTTCAATACTAGTTTAAATGTATTCAGTCTGGACCTAATTAAAGTGGACAGATGACCTGGCATGGAACAGTGTCTAGTCTTTCGGAGGGGATGACCCCCATCCCACCCCCCAACACCCAGATCCTGTGTTTATATTGGCTCAAATGTAAAAGAACCTTTGACAGTCTTCCGTAGGGCTGTTGTCCAAGTCAAATTTCCCTCATAGCACACCGCAGCCTGTTTTCATTATCCTAATTGCTGGAAAACTGTAGGACATTAAACACCATTTCATTTGATTGGTGTTTTGTTGGTGTTTTGAAAAACGTTACGCCATAACCTATGTAAAAAGAAGTGTCTAGCTGGCAAACTCTTTCTGGAAGAGCTCTGTGTACTAATCATATTTTAACACTTAAAATGAATGTGGTAATGATTTAAAATGAGTGATTAATTACATATTGTGTTACCAAATTGATTAACGTAATCTAATAGTAAGCTTCCATGTTTATTTATACTTGTACTTACAGAAAGTACAGACATTGTCTACATCTTAGCCTTTGACTGTCACAGTAAATGAAACAATGAGTTTGTTTAAGACTTTTAAAAAAATAAAGATTCTGCAAACTTGTGTATCATACACCTGGACAATAATGATTACCCATAAATTACAATTGACAGACATGCAGAAGTTGTTTTTATTAATATCATATCAATCAGACAGGTGTGGAAAGTTTTATTGACAAATATAATTTATAAGTTACTGAAAAAACAACAGATAACACCACAGACTTGTACAAAAGTTATTTAAGTTAATGACAACTGATCATATTGACATAAATGTACTATTAACTATAATCTAAAAATATGAAAGATGTACTATACATGAGGTCATCAAGGAAAAAAGCATTGTTTTTTTTAACGTGAGCAAACCTATGAAGGGAGGGAGAGAGAGGCTTGAGACTTGCACAAACTAGATCACATTAGGAATAACATGTAATTTATCAATACTCTAATCACATGCAGTCGGGGTCTTTAAAAGTGGGGAAAAAAATGGAGAATCCAGTGAAAACCCACATCTATAAGGTAGGTGGCTCAACTGCTTGTCAAATACAAGTCTTGAATTAAAACAATGCCACTTGACTCAAGGACAGTCCTTATGATCTAAAGCAGCCACATTACACCCGCCCCCACCCCCAATCCAGCTATCCCCACAAGCTACCCATGGTATTTATTTTCAATTCCTGTGGGTGTGACTGCGATATTATCCAAGGTAGAAGTGGACATACATGTACTACGACCGATTGAACAGGTGTTTACAAAAAGTGTGTGAGGGGGACATCTTTTTAATTTATATTGTTAGATTTGTTTTTTTAAAGCATGGTTATGTCATTGATGGTCATTACTCTAGGAGTGTTTGAGTGGTTTATAAACGCAAAAAACCTACCCATGCATGGTAAAAAAAAACATATAGGAAGCCATTTGACTCACAGAAATACTGTACAAGATGGCCTCTATATTTTGTATGGTTTGACAATATATCATGTTTCATTGAAATAGAATGTCTAGGTTCGCTATCCACAATGTGAAGAAATAAAGTAAAGGAACTTATCTGTCATATAGAAAGATATATTTGTCATTAGAAAAGCCTATTGATTGATATCAAGGCGGAGAGAAAGTAAGAGAGAAATGGGGTTTCATGTCCATGACACAAACTAGGTTATTTTGGGAATAACATGGTTCAATTTTATTTTAATAATTGACTTATGCGAATGGATCTTTAGCAGTCGGAGGAAACCAGAGAACCTGGAGAAAACCCACGTGGTTGGACAGGCAATCCTACTCCTTGTCACGTACAACCGGGGAATCGAAACCACGCCAGTTGACTCAATGATAAACGTTATGATACGACATGCACACATTAACCTTTCACAGCCATCCAACCTCCCCAAATGATTGAAAGACATGATAGCAAGAACTCCTACCAAGTTCAAATAATAGCTGAAATGAAATATTTGGATGTGTAATGCCGACAAGATTTCAATCAGAGGTTCAAATTAAACTACTTGTGGGATCACTTATTTTATCAAGGATTGATTATTGTAATAGTTTACTCTATGGAATCCCACAAGCACTTCTAGCCAAGATCCAAAAGGTTCTTAATACTGCAGCCCGAATAGTAACAAGGACACATAAGTTTGATCACATCCAGAATGTGCTGGCTTCTTTACATTGGTTACCTGCTGAGGTGCGAGTCAAATATAAAATACTAACATTAGTGTATAAATGTCGCAATAATGCAGCTCCTCAATACTTATCTGAACTCTTATATGACTACAACCCTATTAGATCACTTCGCTCTCAAAATAAACAGTCACTAGTTGTTCCAAGATATAATTTGAAGTCATATGGGTATAGGTCTTTCAGTTCAGCTGGTCCTAGATTATGGAACGAACTTCCACAACAGATCAAGAATCAACAAACTTTTAATCAATTTAAATTCGCACTAAAGACTTTCCTGTTTCAACAGTTTTACCAGTAGAGCCATTACAAAAAGCGTTTTGAGCATGTGTCAACATGGAGAAGACGCTATATAAAACTTCATTATTATTATTATTATTATTTCATTTTTCTTTTTAAACTGAAAAATCCTAGCAAATGAAATTAAAATGAAACTTGTGAAGACACATGGACATTTAAAGTAATAACCATTAAAAGTACCATCAAATCAAGTGCATGGATCTGTGGAGTGGCCATCAAAGTTGTAGCTACAGTCCCTGGACTGTCGTGATACATCTTCAATAGAAGGCTTGATCTCGCTTTAACTCCATACATCTTATCAAGCAATTCACGTAATACCCCACATATTTCGGCACTAATTTCGATTGGGTACTGACCCAGCTTAAGAGCCTTGCAGATTCCTCGATCATCACGAATACCAAGTATCGTGGTTTCCGGCTAAAATGTCTACATGTAACTGTGGTAATCGAGTTGAAAGTTCAAGGTTCATTCAATGTCAAGGTTTCCGTCTGATTTGAGTGTGTTTGTGATACAACCTCTGATTGGACGCTACTGTTCACATGTCTGCAGTAAAGGCAGATAACGTACGTATAAGTTTGGGAATTGCAAAGTAGTGTAGCAACATCTAGATGTTGTATAACTCGCGGTCGTTGCTTCAGGAACATGATACTGATACAGACAGACCTTACTCAAAATGAAAGAAATCCCACTACAAAGTGTGATGATCATCTCACTTTTGAGGGGTTGGGATGCTCTAGAGCGCTGCGCTTCAACCTCTAGCTGGCCGGTCACCTCTGACTTGTGGTTGTGCTTTTGATCCCTGGTGTGAGCATATGTGGCTTGGAGATAGGGGCGCCTTCTCAACCTCGTGGGTTTACTTCGGGTACTCCGGTTTCCTCCCACAGGAAAGACCCCTGCACGTGTGCTGAGATAATGAAAATGAAAAATAAGACTTGTCTGCGATATCACCTTCGGTGGAAGCGGACGTTAAACACTAAGAACAACAACATTCATATAAAACTGGGCTACCAACTCAATATATCTATTCTTCTAAATGACAAGCTATAAAACCTCCACTTCAATCATTGATTATTGTATAAAATCTCAGACAATGATCAAATAGAAGGTGAATTGTATCAATCAATTATAATCAATAACTGTTTGAATACCCAACAACAACATGTACAGTATACATGTACATGGGTGTTCTAAAATATCCTTTATGTGGAGAGGTCTCTAATTCAAATCTATGTTTGAATTTGCCAATTGTAATTGCTAGACATACTGCTATGTACAATATATCCAAACCTTTGATATTTAGCAATAAATTAATGATTTTTGTCTGTCAGAGTTTGGGATTATTTAGCAAAATGGATGTCAACAGCCTCTGGGGTGTTAAATTTTCAAAAACAAACTGACAAAACATTTACTTCTTTGCAAAAACCTCTGGTGCTAAGACTATACTGCTAAGCATTTTCAACATCAATAAAGATCAATAGAAAAAGCCAAAAAAATACATACATTATGCACAAGCTAAATCTGCCTATTGCAGGTCTTTCTTTAGGCCGGAAATGTTATATAACCCATTAATTAGACATTTATTAACAAAACAAGACCATAA